ATGCGCCATTGTGTGTCCATGGAAACGACACCGCCGGCGATGCCTGAGAGCTTGCGCCCGTGGAAGCTAAACGACAGCGGCGTTCATGCATGCACGCGCGGATGGAAATGACAGGCATGTTCGTAACTCGGAAGTTTGCTGTAATCTACCCGTATCTCGGAAGTTTGCATAACTCGGAACTATACACGTTTTTTTTGGTGTTTGTGTGGGGCATACTCCAAAAATCACACCCTGTAACTCAAAGGTTTCAACATCATAACCGTGGACACTATAGCGGTTCTGGGCCTTGGTGGGTACCAGTGTGTGTGGAATTTATGGGTTTCATGAGGCTTCGTGCGAATGCGTGCGTCGGATGTGGTGCTCGAACTGCGTAAGCTTACTTTACGTGAGGAAAAGAAGAAAAGGTGCAGAAAAAATGTTGTTCATTTAAGCTCACTTGTTGCTATACCAATGTGTGCTTGGCGTTCGTGGGCACGCAGGCCCTCGAAGTAACCGCAGAGAAAAAAATAGTAGAGAGTGAAAAGGAAAACACATGACTGACTGCAACCTTCAGACCTTTCCATTATCCGCGTTCCATTTTGCCCCATGTCGGGCGAGCTGCGAAGCTTTGAAGCTTCAAGCATGCGTGCCTTGCACGCACCCAGAGGGAACATGGCCAGGGTGAACCTCACATAGCATAGAAACATTGAATTGTGGGAAACCCTTTTCTTGGTGGTCAGCTTTTTCTGCCAAGGTCAAACCCTGTCCTTTGGTTCCGGTGCCCACTCGCGCGCTTTGCGCCGGTAGTTTTCTAAAAACAACCCCAAACAGAGCAAGTATCTATCCATCACACGATGCGTCATGGTTTTCCCATGACAGTGTTTGGCCACTTTTTTGCACTGTCCCAACCAACTCTCTTCAGCAAAATTGTCAAAGATAAATGGATTGAGTTCCCACTCCAAGGTCTGGACAGCTGTGTGCCAGAGGAAGTGGCATTTTGGTCTCATCAAAAAAAGGTTGGCCCTTGGGATGCCATGGTTAAGTGAGAGCCACTGCACGGCTCTGAGGTAATCCAAGATTCCCCTACTGCCGTGCTTCGAACTACGCCTAGTCAAAAGAAGACCTCCATGGTCAAAGATCTCAATCGCCCTGTTGATGGACCAAGCTCCAAAGGCCACGGTTCGAATGACCACGTCCTCAAAAAGGCTGAGAGTTTAAGTGTTCTTTTGTGGGACTAGTAGCAGAACCCATGGAGTGGCCATTGGATCAAACATAAAAAAGACGGTTTGTAAAGCTGTTCAAAGGGTCGTCAGGGAAATCATACGAAGCTTGACTTGTCCGCGAAGCTATCCACCGCAAAAGGCTCTTGCAATGGGAAGCTTTAAAGCGAGACCCAAGCTCCAAGAACTTGTTGCCATCAAGTGGGAAGAAATACTTCTTTGCCAACGTGGGGC